CATCAACGTCAAGCACTCCATCACCAGCCCCGCAACCACCAAAGAAAAAACAGCGATTGCCTACTGCTGATATTCGGAATAATGGCTACTGTCATTGGCCAAAGAAAAGTGAGAAACGTGGGCGGTGCAAACTTTGCATGAAAAACAACACAAACACTGTGTGTATGAAATGTGAAGTTAGACTTTGTTTTGCTGAGGAACGTAATTGTTTCTAGAATTTCCACCAGTGATAGCATTTCAAAAAACATATTTTTTTCATTCTTAAAAACCTTGTGTTGTGTTGACTACAAAAATTAAAAATTTTGCCCTGCTATTTGAAGTGCATATTCTTACAAATCATTCTGAAATTCATAAAGTTATCTTTTATGCCACAATGAGCCCGGTGTTACATATATGTCACGTAACACAATGAGGCTAAAATAGAACCTAACTACAATTTTTTCCCCATTGCAGCAAGTAATGACTCCAAATGAGTAAAAAAGTCAATGGAAATAGTTTTAGCTATAGAAAATCACATTGTGGGTTTTACAGGGTTAAAATGATCGATATAAATCATATTGTAATTATATTAAATGTTCAAATAAAAAAATACCAATTTCTAAGATTGATAAAAACACAAAATAATAAAAAAAACAGGGATGACTTACTTGCAACGAAAACTTTGACTTTGGATATAAAAGGAGATAACGCACGACCCTTTCTTGCTAATCGAAACTCATACGTTCCATTATAACTATGAGTGATATTTCTTAATTGCAGTGTTGAAGGTTTGTAGACGTCATAATTTGGAGGAATTTGTGCACGTAACTTTATTACATTAAAGTTTTCAAAGACAATGGCCAAAAGTGTTTGTGCTGAACCATTACTACTACCAGTGAAATACCAAGTTCTACTGTCTAAATCACTTTCTCTATCATTAAATGTCCACGTTATATTGTGTGTTTCTCCAGGTAGAAATGTAAAACTTGTGCCAGAGGGAGGTGATTGAATAATTCCTATACATGACAAGAAATAAAAGATAAATGTATAAAATCTAGTAACGTTTAATTCAATTTAATCTATTAAATATCAATTATTAAATGAAAATAGTAGCAAAGGATAGATAACAGAAACATATAAAAGAAAATTAACATATAGAACCAGGCTCAGACTAACTCCAATTTAAGGGAATTGCCATTTCAACTGTAGGTGTCCCTCAGAAAATACCCCCGTGCCAAATTTATAATTTTATTTTTCAGTGTCTCAAAATGAGGGCATTATGTCGTCATTGATAACAATTTATATTATTCGGGAAAAATTCAAATATCAGAGCCTTTGCTAGGTGAGTAAAATAGTTCAGTGTTATAAAAAAGAGAAGTCGTTCCATTCGTGATGACTTTGATGTTAATTCAAAACTTAAAAGTAGTTACACATTCCTGGACATTTTTTTGCTTTTTTTTGCTTGCTTTGAACTTCTTTGACTGTTTTCTTTAATTGTAATTTATTGTACAAGTAAAGGGATCAAAGAATTTTTTTCAATTTCAGTCACATTGATATCATACAGCAAGATGTGTGCAATAAAAGGCCCGTTTTAATTCCCAGGAGAGGCCTCGATGTGTCATGAGCAAATAAGTCAGTCTGAGCCATTAAGAAACATAAGAAACATCTTATTAATCATAACAACGACTACCAAAGCTTAATGAGCATTAGGCTCTTCAAATCATAAGAAGCATCTTATTAATCATAACAACGACTACCAAAGCTTAATGAGCATTAGGCTCTTCAAAACATAAGAAACATCTTATTAATCATAACAACGACTACCAAAGCTTAATGAGCATTAGGCTCTTCAAAACATAAGAAACATCTTATTAATCATAACAACGACTACCAAAGCTTAATGAGCATTAGGCTCTTCAAAACATAAGAAACATCTTATTAATCATAACAACGACTACCAAAGCTTAATGAGCATTAGGCTCTTTAAAACATAAGAAACATTTTATTAATCATAACAACGACTACCAAAGCTTAATGAGCATTAGGCTCTTCAAAACATAAGAAACATCTTATTAATCATAACAACGACTACCAAAGCTTAATGAGCATTAGGCTCTTTAAAACATAAGAAACATCTTATTAATCATAACAACAACTACCAAAGCTTAATGAGCATTAGGCTCTTCAAAACATAAGAAACATCTTATTAATCATAACAACGACTACCAAAGCTTAATGAGCATTAGACTCTTCAAAACATAAGAAACATCTTATTAATCATAACAACAACTACCAAAGCTTAATGAGCATTAGGCTCTTCAAAACATAAGAAACATCTTATTAATCATAACAACGACTACCAAAGCTTAATGAGCATTAGGCTCTTTAAATGAACATACAAAGGCAGAGGAATTCAGGTTTTTGAAGGTGTTCCACAAAGACACCACAATTATAGAGAGAAAAATAATGACCTTAAAATAAACTATTGCGGTATTGCAATGATAATGTTGTTAAAGTGTAATCATTGTTACTATATATTTATACCAGCTGCAAAATTATTTAAGTCAGTATTCAACTACACGTGAATCAATATTTTACACAGACAATGAAGAAGGTTACGCATAGTAGAATAGTGATGACATTAAGGCCTTGACGCAATATGTGGAGAAAATAACTCATTTCTTTAAGGCGAAAAAATTGAAAATGAAGATAAAATCGCTCTATTTGTTAAGTCTTATGAAGGAAAACGTAGAAAGTTTGACGAGTTAAAAGACATTATGAATGTTTAGAAATTCAACACGGATGTAGGGGGATGAATTGATATAGATATCAGGACATTTCGAATTTGGTGTTCATTACATTACTGCTAAGACATCGATTAGTCTAGGACCTATGACACAGAGGATATGTACCCCCTGTATAAAAATAAACCACGCTAAAATTCAGACTCCAACTTAATAAGATTGTTTTGTTCCCATGAAAAATATGGTGAATATGGTCGCTCCTGAATAAATTTTCATGAAGTCTGTTACGCGAAATTTTCTTATTTTTATTACGTAAATGATTAATTTAATTTTCAATACTCCTAATAAAAATTGTGGCATTTTTCATTTTGTGGATGAAAATTTATTTATTTATTTTAACTATTTTTAGGAGGGTCCAAATCAGCTGAAACACTGCACACAGAGACGTTTACTCACTGAACTAACGTTGGATGAAAATTACGCAAGAAATAAACACTCTTTGTCTTCTAAAATACTGCCAGGTATTGCTTTTAAATTATTTCATTCAATGCAGAACTGATTATGGTCATTGTACACAAAATGAAGAATTAAGTGAGTATTTTAGTCAATATATCTTAAAATTCTAAGCAAATTCCACAGTTGTATTTGACAAAAATAGCCATTTACTTCCTTAATGATCTAATAAAAATAATAAATACCTTGACATGTTGAAATCCACCAGAACAACACAAATGAAAGGAAGTCAAACTTTGCCATCTTGTATTCTGTCTATAAAGGTTAAGTGAAGATGCAACTTAAGTAAAATCACAGAACTGCTACAGAAATATATGATGTATTCCTTCATATTTTATGTATATTTTTGATTTCCTATAACCATTAATATTGAAGGAAACAAGAGCATCGGTAAAACTTCCAAAATTTTCGATGGAAAACATCCTCTGTTGTAGCCAGTAAAACAAGATTTTTTTGTTTTGTACTTTGCAGAAGTACTAAAGAACTTTCCATTATGATACATCTCAGACATCTTCTTAATTCCTCAGGAAATTCAGTGAAATGTCAATGAAATTATTTACAAATAATCTTGTCCATCAATATTTGTTAACATTTTAAATGATTCACTTTACCTTAAACAATACTGAAGTAACTAAGCTGGTGAAAAATCTTCACGTGTTTCTTAAAGAAACCAGCCAATTTTCCTCTTTTCAAAATTATTTCCGGGTCTCATAGTGTGCAAATATTTATATAAGTAATGAAAAGAATGTAAACGCTGTGACAACGCTGTCATATGTAACAGAGCGATCATATTTTATCAAAACCTCATGACATACACAAATTACCCAGAGTTGTTTTAAAACAGAATACCAGCCACACAATCTTTATTCTGTAATTTTATCCATACATATGACTTAATGGTGCTTTTAGATGAATGTATAAATTGTGAAAGCATACTTCGACACGCTGTGCCAATATCCATTTCCTAGTTGATCACAATGCTCTTGAAGGCGATGAACATCCACAAGTGGATTTTGTAGGAAAATCATTGTGAAAAATAACATCTCTATAAATCGCTTTTGCTGAAATATTCTTAGTAATTTTCACAATTTTAATGCACAATTAAAAATTTCTTATACTTTGTCTACAAAGAATTCCAGATGGGGGGGGGGACTTTGGAATCGCCAAGGGCCCTGGGAAAGCTTGATCCGCCACTGTTTACCCTCTCTATCTTACCAATGATCTTATCCTGCAGTTTTTAGTTGAAAATACCAAACGTGGCTAGATTGAGAATGTTCTTGACGAGTCCCAGGGGGCATGAACCACTGAGGAATTTTTGATTTCGTAACACAGTGAAACAAATGACAAATAACCAAGTTGTCCTTTAACTTTTACCATTTCAACCTAAGCGACTTCAATTCAGATGGTTGGACTGCAAACTTCTGTTTAGCAAAGGACTGTACATGGATGACGTCAGACGACTTTGCTCTTTTTAATCGGGTATATTAGAATTTAAAATTGCTTAAAAAAGAGCACATACCATGGTGAATGGTTCAAATAATAACGTAATAGTTCTTAAAAGAACTGTTTAAAACCAGAACGCTAACCCAACAATTCTAAAGAACTGTTTTTAAAGCTGAAAAAGACACTATGCATTTCCGCAGACTACTCATCAGAGAAAAAAACACTAAAATATAAACTTACAGGCAATATACACATTTACTTTCTTTGTGTGTCAGCAGTAAACAGTATTACCTTACACTGTTATCAAAAACAACCAATGAGTGAGTCAGAATGACCAGTGTATTTTCTCATCCAAAAATGGCTTCCTTCTGGAAATCATAAAGTATTGGCAGCTCCAAAGGGAGGAAAAGATGCAAAATTCAAATCTTATCAGAAAATGTAAATGTTCTTAAAAGCGCCGTTGTGACTTTACAACATGGAAAAGGTTTATAAACACATGTTTAGAATAAATTTATGATTTTCTTCAAAACAAATTACTGTTCTCATAATTTCTTCTTTCGTCGGGTATCTCGTACTCCGATTCATTATTTTTTTGCAAAGATTCATAATTATTATCTTCTATTTTCCTTTTCGATATGTCCAGTTCTTGATAAGTTTTATCAACTGTGTCATCCTTTGGTCTCAATGATTGATAATTATCTTCTTTATTATTAATTTTTGATAAATCCAATTCTTGATAAGTTGTATCAACAGAATTTATCCTAACTTCAGGTGGAGATTGAAATTGTTGACAATTTTTACAAAACCAATGTTGACGATATTGAAAAACAATAGAAACCAAAATTCCAACGATAATTCCAGATGTTAAAGTTATTAAAATGATGTACCATTCTGTTTTGTACTGTTTTATTCTCCCTTTTTGGTCATCACAAAGAACGTTGTCTAGAGAAGAAGCATAGAACTTAAAAATATGGAAAAAAATCAAAAGAGTTTATTTGCATACAATACTAATATACATATGATAACAAGATTGGAGCATTTTGATTAAGCATTGGATAGATTGAATTGAACATTTCCATTACAACTAAGGAAAAGGTCGAGATGTTAATTGCATTGTGTGGCCAGAGCTAAAGAATGCTATAAAAGAGCGATATCTTACAAAACTTACAAGTAGCTTTCACTGTTACTTCAATAGATTTTTCATCTCTAAAACGTGGATCATTATAACTTTGTGCTTTACATCTGTAATTTCCACCATCATTCAATGTAACATTAGTGATTACTAATGTCTTACTTACAACTCCAACATCACCAATTATGTTGTTATGTTTATCAAACCATGTGACATTAGCAGGAGGGATACCTCCTTCACCTCTACATACACATGATACATTATCACCTTCATTCACAACGAGAGGTGTTGAACAATTAATTACCACTGTAGGTTTCACTGAAATTAAAAAGAAAATATTCCTTTCTTAAATTAGTTATGAAAATTAATAATGAGAAAATTAATAATGAGAGTATTCGTTAGTGTTAGGTGCATTTTCTTAGGAGTGTTCAATCGATGTGCTAACCAGTCACAAGCCAGTAGGAAGCCCGCTTATCACTTGCTAAAAGTCCAGAAACTGCTATCCAATGAGATTTTTGAATTAAACCACTGCATTATCAACCAACTTGCTTAATGAAAATTTCATTTGTAAAAAAGACTTTGATGTTAGAAAAGAACAGCAAGATGAAATTTTGAAATTTTGAAAGTCAATCGCGTGACCGACTAGACCTAAAGAATATTGACTTATTATGAAGCCTAAAAAACTATTATTGACTATTATTGGTCTTCTAAGAACTATAAACAAATCACAGTCGTCTAAGACTCTTGATAACCTATTTAATGAAAATATTCCATAAGTAAAGGTAAAAGCTAGGTGACAACAGATGCATACGTCAGCGCAGTAGGCAGCGAAAGGAGCATTTGAGGTGTAGGCTTAAGAGTCAATCATAATTGGCAGTGGTAGTCTTTCAGCACAACGAATCTAAATCTCGCCAACAAAGAAAAATATATAACTACCTTAATTGTTCTGCACAATCTTGTACTATCGTGTACAAATGGGATGAAACTGAACAGTCGTAATTTGTTCAAGTACAATGCAGAATACTAGCCCAAAAATTGATGAAGTAAAATTTTAATTCTACCTGTGATGATAGTAAGATTTTTAACATCAGATGAATCATTTTCCAGTTTATTCTTTGCTTCACAACGATATGAACCAGCATTACTGAAGTTGATAGAATTAATGATGTATGTCTTTTTATTACTGATAACTGCACCATTATGATAAATAGTGTAGGTTGGTTCAGGATAACCATCTGATTCACAGGTTACTATCACATTTTGACCTTTTTTTTTACTGACATTGGACTGATGGTAATATTGGTTTGTTTTGGTGGATCTGTATAGAATTAACAAATTTCAATATTTGTAAACGTTTATAATAAGATCTGAAATGCCGCCTTGCAAACTTACATATAGGCTTTACTTGTATTTCAATGGATTTTCATCTCTATAATCTGTACTATCATAACTTTGTGCTTCACATTTGTAAATTCTTCCACCATCATTCAATGTAACATTAGTGATTACTAATGTCTTACTTACAACTCAACATCACCAATTATGTTGTTATCTTTATCAAACCATGTGACATTAGCAGGAGGGTTACCTCCTTCACCTCTACATACACATGATACATTATCACCTTCATTCACAACCAGAGGATTTGAAGAATAAATTACCACATTTGGTTTCACTGAAATTAAAAGCAAAAAATATTCATCACTTAAATTAGTCATGATAATAGTTAGTTTCACTAAAAATAGGAAGACAAATTGCAGTATAATCGGGCAAATTGGACTAATCGAGTAGCAGAAAGGGAACAACTCTCATCACGCCGATTACATTGTTATAGGCTATCAAAAACATGTTTATTGTCAAAAGAATTCTCGTTCATATAAAATGTTCGATATAAATCATATTGTAGTTTTATTAATTGTTAAATGAGAAGTATAAAATTCTAAAAATGGTAACAATGCAAAAACACAAAAAATAGACAAAATTGCAATAAAAACTCTCGCTTTAGACATCAAAGATGTCCATGAAAAACAAAACATCGATTGTTTGATAATGATACAAACATAACTGGTTTTGACGACTCCATAGCTCATTTAGATTTAGAAAATGGCTAATTGCCAAAAAACTTAGTCTTATATGCTAACATCGCAAAAACGATTGACTCAAAACAAGTGTAAAATACTTCTAATTTTCAAGTAAATAAAAAACTTGTAAACGCAAGCGTATCAAGAATGGTCAAAAATGGTCGACATAAAACATACTGTAATTTGGTTGATTTTCAAATGAGCAATATAAATTTCTAAAACTGATAAAAATTTTAAATAGCTTATAAAATATAGGGGTGACTTACTTGCAACAAAAACTCTGACTTCAGATGTAAATGATATATCGTCCTTTCTTTCCAATATAAACTTATATGTTCCATCATAACTAGGAGTGATAATTCTTAATTGCAGCGTTGAAGGTTTATAGACGTCATAATTTGAAGGAGTTGATGCACTGGTCTTTATTACAGCACCCCTCTCAATGACAGTGGCCAAACGTCTTCGTGGTGGACTATTACTACTACCCGTAAAATACCAATCTCTACTGTCCAAATCACTTTCTCTATCACTAAATGTCCACGTTATATTGTGTGTTTCTCCAGGTAGAAATGTAAAACTTGGGCCATTGGGAGGTGATAGAATATTTCCTATGATAAGAAATGAAAGATAAATGAATAAAAATAGGTACGCAATACGTACAAATGATTTTGAACATAAATCAAATGTTTATTCAACGTACATAAAACTATTCGAGACGTTCATAAGAAATTTTACGAAAACATCTCTACTTAAGTTCAAAAGTTATTTAATTTCATAATAACAAAAAGAAGTTAAAAAACTAAGTCAAAGATTAACAATAACAATAATTTTGCGTCAAAAGTACAACAAAATGAAATTATTGTCTATTTCTTTGACAGTTTTCTTTACAGCAAAATGCGGTTTGTGTTTACTGTTTAGTCATCAAGTGCTCACGTGTGTGATATTGGGCTTGAAAGTAATGCAAATAATATCTTTTACAAGTGTCTGTCAACGTATAGTAAAGAATCAGATAACATTGAAAATACAATGCACATTTAATATAAACGACAAGTTTTTTTGAAAATAGACATGTTTCGACATCTTATGATGCCATCTTCAGTATGAGTGAAATAGGGGATACAAGATTTATATAAAAGTAATATAATACATAAATTACAACAATAAAAAGGAAAGAAGATAAATTAACGCTCCCCATTAATTTATCTTATCTAATGTTCAAGTAAATAAAAAACTTTTAAACACAAACGTATCAAAAATGGTCAAAAATGGTGGACATAAAACATACTGTAATTTGGTTAATTTTCAAATGAGAAATATAAATTCTAAAACTGAGAAAAATGTTAAATAGCTAATAAAAAATTGGGATGACTTACTTGCAACAAAAACTCTGACTGTAGATGTAAATGATATATCGTCCTTTCTTTCCAATATAAACTCATATGTTCCATCATAACTATGAGTGATATTTCTTAATTGCAGCGTTGAAGGTTTACAGACGTCATAATTTGAAGGAGTTGATGCACTGGTCTTTATTACAGCACCCCTCTCAAGGACAGTGGCCAAACGTCTTCGTGGTGAACCATTACTACTACCCGTAAAATACCAAGTTCTACTGTCCAAATCACTTTCACTATCATTAAATGTCCATGTTATACTGTGTGTTTCTCCAAGTAAAAATGTAAAATTTGTATCAGGGGGAGGTGATTGAATAATTCCTATACATGACAAGAAATAAAAGATAAATGTATAAAATCTAATAACGTTTAATTCATTTTAATCTATTAAATATCAATTATTAAATGAAAACAGTAGCAAAGGATAGATAACAGAAACATATCAAACAAAATTAACATATAGAACCAGGCTCGGACTAACTACAATTTAAGGAAATTGCCATTTCAATCGTAGGTGGCCCCAGAAAATACCCCGTGCCAAAATTATAAATTTATTTTTAGTGTCTAAAAATGAGGGCATTATGTCGTCATTGATAACAATTTATATTATTCTGAAAAACTTCAAAGGTCAGAGCCTTTGCTAGCTAAGTAAAATAGTTTAGTGTTATAAAAAAGAGAAGTCGTTCCATTCCTGATGACTTTGATGTGAGTTGAAAACTTAAAAGTAGTTACACATTCCTGGACCTTTTTTTGCTTTTTTTTTTTGCTTGCTTTGAACTTCTTTGACTGTTTTCTTTAATTATAATTTATTTCACAAGTAAAGGGATCAAAGAATTTTTTTCAATTTCAGTCACATTAATATCATACAGCTAGATGTGCACAATAAAAGGCCCGTTTTAATTTCCAGGAGAGGCCTCGATGTGTCATGAGAAAATGGCAAATAAGTCAGTCTGAGCCATTAAGAAATATAAGAAACATCTTATTAATCATAACAACGACTACCAAAGCTTAATGAGCATTAAGCTCCTCAAATGAACATACAAAAGCAGAGGAATTCAGGTTTTTGAAGGTGTTCCACAAAGACACCACAATTATAGAGAGAAAAATAATGACCTTGAAATAAACTATTGCAGTGTTGCAATGATAATGTTGTTAAAGTGTAATCATTGTCACTATATATTTATACCAGCTGCTAAATTATTTAAGTCAGTATTCAACTACGCGTGAATCAATTTATTACACAGACAATGAAGAAGGTTACGCATAGTAGAATAGTGATGACATTAAGGCCTTGACGCAATATGTGGAGAAAATAACTCATTTCCTTAAGGCGAAAAAATTGAAAATGAAGATAAAATCGCTGTATTTGTTAAGTCTTATGAAGGAAAACGTAGAAAGTTTGACGAGTTAAAAGACATTGTGAATGTTTAGAAATTCAACACGGATGTAGGGGGATGAATTGATATCAATATCAGAATATTTCGAATTTGGTGTTCATTAGGTGTACTGTTAAGACATCGATTAGTCTAGGACCTATGACACAGAGGATATGTACGCCCTGCATAGAAATAAACCACGCTAAAATTCAGACTCAAACTTAATAAGATTGTTTTGTTCCCATGAAAAACATGGTGAATACGGTCGCTCCTGAATAAATTTTCATGAAGTCTGTTACGCGAAATTTTCTTATTTTTATTACGTAAATGATTAATTTAATTTTCAATACTTCTAATAAAAATTGTGGCATTTTTCATTTTGTGGATGAAAATTTATTTATTTCTTTATTTGGTCCAAATCAGCTGATACACTGTACACAGAGACGTTTACTCACTGAACTAACGTTGGATGAAAATTACGCAAGAAATGAACACTCTTTGTCTTCTAAAATACTGCAAGGTATTGCTTTTAAATTATTTCATTCAATGCAGAACTGATTATGGTCATTGTACACAAAATGAAGAATTAAGTAAGTTTTTAGTCAATATACCTTAAAATTCTAAGCAAATTCCACAGTTGTATTTGACAAAAATAGCCATTTACTTCCTTAATGATCTAATAAAAATAATAAATACCTTGACATGTTGAAATCCACCAGAACAAAACAAATGAAAGGAAGTCAAACTTTGCCATCTTGTATTCTGTCTATAAAGGTAAAGTAAAGATGCAATTTAAGTAAAATCACAGAACTGCTACAGAAATATATGATGTATTCCTTCATATTTTATGTATATTTTTGATTTCCTATAACCATTAATATTGAAGGAAACAAGAGCATCAGTAAAACTTCCAAAAGTTCCAGGTCTCATGGTGTGCAAATATTCATTTTTTTGTTCATCGTCATGATGCATTTAATTCAAGACCACTGAAAATCTTTCTTGTTGACTTTTGATGTTGTGAATTTGTGATAAATACCTTTTTCGTTATTTGTTCGTAATTATTGACTGCAGTTAATGTCTGTAAAACTATTCCCATTGTAACTAGTACACTGAAGATAAAACAAAACATTTTTCATAAAATAAAATATCATTCACAAACAATATAACCCTAAATACAGCGTATGTTCTTCACCGGCGGGTGCTCCATTACTTAATAACTGCTGACGACGATATCAAAGAAAAACATCTTAAGGCCTTTGAATGTAAATGTATTATAAAGTGAAAGTTATTGCTCTTGTTGTTTTAGCATTCAGATTGAGAATGAAATATCAAAACGTTAACAGTTTTATTGTTGCTTCCGAATGATGGAGGTTTTTGTATGTCTGGAGCATTGCGATATTAAACAGTTGGGATTCTCCAGTACATTTGTTTATATTTCAAGTATTAAGACGGTAAATTTTCTAAAGGTCCCCGCATTTTTGATGCTCTCTTTGTGTTGTCGAACAACCCACTAGCCCTGTATTCAAAATGAGACCATATAAACTGTAAATAATTTTTGTTACGATTGGCGCTCCATAGTAGATCACTAAAGGTGTTCTTAACTATCCAACTATGGTCTTCTCTTAACTAGATGGGTCTCAAGGCATTCTCTAATCAAAGACAAATTATAAAATTTACGATTTAGGTTCATCAGAAATAAGATTTTGTGTTTTTCCAGGGCCTTTTCGTGATCCTGTTCTAAACAATTTGGTATACACAGGAAACAAGTCAGGAAGGCAGGTGTATAGTAAGATAAAGAGAAAATGCTCATTCAAAAACAGTATTACCATACACTGTTATCAAAAACAACCAATGAACGAGTCAGAATGACCAGTGTATTTTCCTATCCAAAAATGCCTTCTTTCTGGAAATCATAAAGTATTGGCAGCTCCAAAGGGAGGAAAAGATGCAAAATTCAAATCTTATCAGAAAATGTAAATGTTCGTAAAAGCGCCATTGTGACTTTACAACATGGAAAATGTTTATAAACACATGTTTAGAATAACAAATTACTGTTCTCATAATTTCTTCTTTCGTCGGCTATCACGTACTCCGATTCATTATTTTTTTGCAAAGATTCATAATTACTATCTTCTATATTCATTTTCGATATGTCCAGTTCTTGATAAGTTTTATCAACTGTTTCATCTTTTGGTCTCAATGATTGATAATTATCTTCTTTATTCATTTTTAATAAATCCAATTCTTGATAAGTTGAATCAACAGGATTTTTCCTAACTTCAGGTGGAGATTGAAACTGTTGACGTTTTTTATTAAACCAATGTTGACGATAACGCAAAAAAAATAAAATAGAGACGAAAATTCCAAGGATAATTCCAGATGTTAAAGTTATTAAAATAATGTACCATTCTGTTTTGCACTGTTTTATTCTCTCTTTTTGGTCATCACAAAGAACGTTGTCTAGAGAAGAAGCATAGAACTTAAAAACATGGAAAAAAAATCAAAAGAGTTTATTTGTATACAATACTAATATACATATGATAACAAGATTGGAGCATTTTGATTAAGCAATGGATAGATTGAATTAAACATTTCCATTAAGTCTAAGGAAAAGGTCGAGATGTTAATTGCATTGTGTGGCTAGAGCTAAAGTTTGCTATAAAAGAGCGATTTGCTTAAATTTTCTTTTAAGGATTTTTATCATCTCAGGTAGCGCATGCAAATTGAACAGAAAGAGCTAATAGTATTTTAAACATAAATATGATTTTAAAGCATTGTAAATAAATGATCTTTTGTGTTGCAATCAGTAGATGAATATTTTGAAAGGAAAAATGATGTTGGAGATTCATATGTTAACACATTTATTGGAAATCAACTCAAATTATAATGTCAAAGAGATGAAAATGCTGACAGAATGCTGAATGACAGAAATATCTATCGAAAAAAATGATAATAATTGACCAAAAAGAACAAATCAAATGAAAGAGTGAAACTCATTTATCTCAAAAATTGATGAAGTAAGATTTTATTATCATTTGCGTTCAAATGGTAACTGCCCCGAATTTTTCGCGTTTGTTCACGTTTCAAACGTCACGTTTGTCAGTCGAAACGTCGGGTTTCAAATTAGGAACGTAATGTATGCTTAGGAAAGTTTAACGTTTGAGGAACAAATTGAACAGGTTTTGGTCAGGTGATTAAAATGTTTATACGATTTTACAATGATAAAATGCTGTAGCAATTGAAAATTACATCTGTATACTTTAGGCGATTTGCAAAGTTTGATAATTGACCATATAATATAAGAAAGAGCTGATTCAAACTTACAAATTCGCGATTTGAACAAACGTAACGCTTACAAGATGAAACTCGACGTTTCGTCTGACAAACGTGACGTTTGAAACGTAAACAAACGCGAAAAATTCGTGACAGTTACCAGTTGATAATTTTACCTTTGATGAAAGTAACATTTCAATTTTACCTTTGATGATAGTAAGATTTTTAACATCAGAAAAATCATTTCCCAGCTTATTTGTTGCTTCACAACGATATGAACCAGCATTACTGAAGTTGATAGAATTAATGATGTATGTCTTTTTATTACTGATAACTGCACCATTATGATAAATAGTGTAGGTTGGCTCAGGATAACCATCTGATTCACAGGTTATTGTCACATTTTGACCTTTTTTTACTGACATTGGACTGATGGTGATATTGGTTTGTTGTGGTGGATCTGTAAAGAATAAAATTAAATTCAACATTCTACACAAACGTTTATAATGAGATCTGAAATGCTGTCTTACAAACTTACAAGTAGGTTTCACTGTTACTTCAATTGATTTTTCATCTCTAAAACGTGGATCATTATAACTTTGTGCTTTACATCTGTAACTTCCACCATCATTCACTGTAACATTAGTGATTACTAATGTCTTATTTACAACTCCAACATCACCAATTATGTTGTTATTTTTATCATACCATGTGACATTAGCAGAAGGGTTACCTCCTTCACCTCTACATACACATGATACACTACCACCTTTACTCACAACCAGAGGAGTTGAACAATTAATTAACGCGTTTGGTTTAGCTGAAAACAAAACAGAAAATTTTTCAGTCAATATTCAAAAAAGAAAATGAGTATATGGTAAAAGTAATTGATAAATAAAATCAAGTTGTTTTAAACATAGCAACCTCCATTAGGAATTTAGGAAAGCAACATTCTACATAACTTCGATAAGTTTTATTGAATATAGGTGAATTGCAGCCAATCCTCAAGGAGTGAAGTACAAAGTTATTCTCTATCTTGGTTGAAATTTGAATCGTAAACACGAAATTTCCTTTGTCAAATTCAACCACATGTTATATATAAGAACACATTTTATGACAAAACAAACCAATAGTTCATAATTGTCTTATTTTTAGGGCATTGAGAAAAACTTGGAGTGCGGAGTACTGAGTGTTTGTTTACAATTGAGAAATTTTAACGCCACATTTTCCACCATGCTGGGGAACTAGATAGAAAATGCATAGTTTCTTTATAAGCGTTTGTTTAGGCTTAGTTAAAAATCATGTTAACTATGGAAAACAATGCTGATAGTTTACGCTTAACAATCCAATAATAATTAAAACAGAGACTTTGTCGTGGTGACAAATTTGAATATCACCTTAAAGAGAACAATTGCCATGGCGAATGGACTGAAACCAAATAAAAAACCACGAAACCCCAAGATACCGAGAAAAAGCTAACCAGAGAAAACAAAGAAAAAATCAAGAAAAAATTAAGAGTTCGGAAAAGAACTGTTTTAGAAATTTAAGACACAGCAAAATTGATCAAGTCCTCTAACCGTTTGACAGAGGAGTGCATATCAGGCAATGGCGCGTTGTCAAAGGTCGGTAGGTATGAACGTATTGATGCTTTAACTTGTAAGCAAGTAAACAATGAGAAATCATAAGTTGGATTATACATCCGCTGTTCATACACATTTTTGGTAGGAGTGCATTACAACTCGTTGATCGATACACATCCTGTAAAAGAACTTGGTGGAGATGGTAAACCCATCCTTGTAGCCACAAATGACCTGTCATTACATACATTATGTTGTTTGTCAAATGGATGTTGAAACGTCTGAAATCAAGTAGATTGAACAAGCAAGAAATGCAAAGTCTAGCGTGGTTAATATCGAACGCAGTTAAAAATGCTGCACGAGATTGGTAAGTGACCTTTACCATCTTCATTGTAAAACTAGTCGCAAAATTCATAGAAACCATCGCTATGCTTCTGACCGTGTGCGTGGTGTGGCAAATAGAAGATTGCCATTCATTGAAATCAACGAAAGTTCAGACAGTGGAAGTATAAAAAAGTGAAGAAAGAACTTCATTGGTTGATTTCACTTACTGATTTCACTTACGAAAGTTTGTGGCAAAGTCAAATAAGGACATTCGGTAAAACGAATAAACAGAGTAAAACGACGAGCAGAGCATATATAAGTAAACAGGTATAACAAAACATTTCAACATAGGAATACTGGAGACAAGACACCAAAACAAATACTGAAGACATTATTGAAGCCAGCTGACTATTGAACAACATGCAAGATCATACCAAATAGTGTTTTTCATAACCTGTGCTTCCATTTGAATTACGCTGACTTGGAGTCTGAAAATGAGTTGAAAAGCCACGACATGGGCTCAAGGAAAAGAACAGTATTCAACATTATTTGTATTTCTTTTAAAGACGACAAGGTGATTTTGGCTA